CACGGAATGGGCGGCTTTGGGACCGGAACGCACTGCCCTCACGGGAACGGGCTCAAACCGGGGGGCTTTGGGACCGGAACGCACTGCCCTCACGGGAACGGGCTCAAACCGGGGGGCTTTGGGGCCGGAACACACTGCCCTCACGGGAACGGGCTCAAACCGGGGGGCTTTGGGGCCGGAACACACTGCCCTCACGGGAACGGGCTCAAACCGGGGGCTTTGGGGCCGGGACACGGCCGAGGCCCCGCAGTAACAACCCCACAGAGCGCTTGGCGAGCTGCGGTTGGTAACCTGTGCTGAGAGTCCCGCTGGAAATCCGAGTTTTGTTTCGTAAAGGGGTCAGGAAACTTGAGAATACATGTATTAATAAAAGGTATGTTTCTCTTTTTTTTCTTTCTTTTTTTTTTTTTTTTTTTTTTTTTTTTTTTTTTTTTTTTGGTTTATTTTTATAACCAAATGCAAGCTCATTTTTTCAGCTTCAACATGAAACTCGGATTTTCCCTCTGTGATAGCTCCTTAATTTGAAAACTCAGTAAATTAACTACTGTAACAGGATCCTCCTTTTTCATGTTTTTAAACTTCAAAAATCTTCCTCTGCTGCTTCAATATGGCCCCAAGAGTGGAGCTGATGGAGAAAAAATTGGCTGACAGCAGTATTACAGTGCAAGAGGTTCATAGTGCTATGAAAAATTAGGTCCTTGCCTAAATCCTTAAAATCTGTACTAGTTTCAATGTGCTTATTTCCAAAGTCTTTCCTGAAAATTACCTTCAATACAAATTTGCATAAAGTTTCTTCATAGTAGAACTACAGACCAGTTTGTCAGTTCCTGAAATAATAGCAGCTTACATAATATTACAGGTTTTGTGGAGGTTTAAAAGTTGTATTTTCAGAATCTGAATATGCTTTTGTAGCAATAGAATAAATGTTATTCCAAAAGAACCTTTTACATCTCAGGCCTCAGTAGTAACCACTGTGTCTGTCTTGAGATAGATTAGGATAGTTCAGTGGGAAGTACAGGGTTTTATGGCATAAAACAAGGATTAAGTGTCACTGTATGACCTCACTGCCATGGAATTCAGACTCTGAATTGCAGATTCTGGTTGAACACAGCCACCACAATTGACAGTTAAGTCACATAAGTAAAATATAATTATGGGAAGTGGATGCCTAAATATTGGCTTCCTAACCACTTGATTCAAGGAGAACCTCCACTAATTTTCTGTAAGAGGTGGTTGGAGCTTCAGCATCATCAAGCAGTGGAGGAGAACAGGATTTTCAGGTTCTGAGGTCTGAGTAAATTCCGTTTATTACAGATGATGCTCTGCCACCTGAGGGCAGTGAGTTATCTGGCAGAGATAATCACAGGGATTTGCTCTAATAGTCACTGAACACAGGGAAAATATTTAGGATTTATGCTTTACCTCAGAAATGAGGTCAGGATCAATTGGGGAAACATGTTACATCAGCAGGACACAAAGGTGACAAACTAGGGCTGTCAACAAAAGGAACTTCCTGCTCCAAGATAACAGTTCAATCTAGGTTCTCCCTTCTAAAACAAAATGAACTATGTACAGGCAATGAATTGCTGCTGTTTAGACATAACAGTTGTAATTTTAGTTGTAAAAAAAATCTTGTGTAAAAGATTTCACTTCCTGATATCCTATATGTACTTGAGAAATTTGTTCTGATAATGAGAAAAACCAAACTGTAGTAATAATACAAATATCCAGGAGGAAGAGGGAAAGGATGGCAACTAAGATACAGGATAGGAAACTGAATGCAACAGCTTTAAAATTCAAATCAAACTGATGATTCCTGAGCATTGAAAAAATGATAATTTAACTCCAGTTCCTTAGAAGTGCTGGTCACAGCCATATTCTTGACACGTGGCAGCCTTGAATAAAAATCATCATCACAAGAGGTCTGAGGGGAAAACTTAGCACCATAAAGTTGGAAAAACATTCCTTTTCAAGTCTCATAAAGGTCCTTTCAGGGTATCATAGAAGAAAGGGAGGAGTTGGCCATTCAGTTTTAAAATGTTTGAATGCTTTTTCTTTTAAACTGCAAAGCGACAGAAGACGATAAAAACCTCAAAAGCATCAGTGTCTATATTCATCTGAAATTTCAAATCTCTGTAAGAAAGCTACATTTACCATAATGTTTGTTTTATAAAACAAGAGGTTCAGTTAATTTTATCAATCAATCAGTCAATCAATCAGCATATGGATCTGTATTTTCCTTCAACTGGTTTTCATCCCAGCATCTTGAATACCAAGAGGAATCTTCTTTTCTTCTGGAAGTAAGTTTTGAAGTAAATTGTCCTCATTTTCCACTGGGATGTGAATTTCAGTTTCTTTTTTCAAGGCATTTTCTTCTTTGGAAAGGTGGGTTTCTTCCCCTCTTGGGGAATAACAGGGGGTGTGTCCATAATCCCTGCTAGTTGAACTATTCTGCTCAGGGCTCTGGGAGCTGCAATCTGGGCTACAAAATGTAACAATACACGTCACATTCACCTGTGTTCCTCCGTTACCACAATGTTCTGTCAAATAAACACAAAGCATGGAAGAATGAAACCAGAATGGGGCACTTGGATTCTTTATCCTGCTCTTTGACTTACTGTTAAAATAGGCACTAAATATCTTTTTGCTTCACTTAATTTAGTCAAGCTGATTGAGTTGGTTCTGTAATGTTTTGGTACCATAAAATCCATCTATCACCCCAGAGATAAAAAGGCTACAAAAATTAACGCAGAGACCTGGATTGCAAACAATTCCTTGCCCATCTGTTGTCATTTCAAATGCTTTTGACCATCTTCTTTTGTTACTGCTCCCTTTGGCTTCAACTCACAGGTAAGTGCCAACCACCTGACCCCTACTCCCTGTTTCTCCACTGAGAAAACTCTCTTTACTGTCTCAGGATGGCAACTTCATCACTTTTTCAAAAGTTACTAAATTTTCTCTCTGCTGAACAGGACTCAGATGTTTTATCCTGCCATTTAAATTTTTGCTAAAAAGACTCATTATTGTTAATAAAATTTCAAGAGGTTCTGGATCATTCAGAATCATTACTACCTGAACTCGCAGAGCTGTGTCTGTCTCCACTCTGGAGTTTAGAACCTTCTGGAGGTGAATGTTGCTGCTGAAATCCTCCTGGGTTTTTATTTTCATTATTAGTTTTACTGATTACACTGATGTTTGCACATCCAGTTGGATTATTCAGGATGCTACTGCTAGACCCAGAAGTTTCCAAGAGGTGCTGTTGCTCCTGTTCAGAATTCCTGGAGTTCTGCAATTCTGTATCTCTCACTCTTTTGTCACGTTGTTTTTCTGGAGGGGAAAAAGGCTGGAACATTTGCAGAGAAATGCAAAATGTTAATCTTTAAAAAAGAAACCAAACAACCCACTAGCAAAGAACTGGTCAGCATTTTGGCAGATGAAAGAAACAGCGATGATTTGAACTAGAGGAGCTTTAAGGTCCCTTCCAACCCAAGCCATTCTATAATTATTTTAATTTGCATAGTGATGAGTGTAAGTAAAAACTGTAACACCTCATTAGGTGTTCAACAAAATGAACCCATCTCCTGAAGGCACCCACAACCCTACTCTGATTGCCTGGGGACCAAAGACTGTCAAATTTGGGTTTTCAAACCGCACCCGGGTTTTACTGCTGTTTTTAGCCTCACATAAAGTGAGGGTGGGACATTATGTGGGATATATAAGGTACATCTTACACCCTGCCTTGGGGACCAAACTACCCCATTCTCACTCCAGCTTTCTGCTGTGCAGTTTTCTTCTACTTGTAATTAGGTGAGAGCTTATAATTTCTGTATAACTTCTGAATAAATGGAAGAGATGGAAAGAGAGGACACTCACCAAATCTGTAGCTGGTGCAGAGTACGCCAGGGCTGCCAGTGAGCAAAGACAGTTTATTAGCACCCACGCTGCCAGTGAGCAAAGACAGTTTATTAGCACCCAACCCTGTTCCATTTGCAACATCTGCACCCTAAACTAGGCTGGAATAAACTCTAAATGTACATTTATTACACACAGTTTGAACGCATTGAAAGCTGTATGGTATTAATTGTGCAACTTAAATTGAGCCAGGATGCAAAGAGAAGCCTCTGCATTAGTTGGTAACTTTTCTTGTATAGTGTCAGTGAGAAAAGGTATTGATGACAATAAACCACAGTCATCTCTGTTTAGTTGTAACACCTGAAATTGTCTAATATTTCAGTGATGAAGTAAGGAATATTTAACAAGCAGAAGCACAGCTGTCACACAGTTGTCCAGCTCCAAGGCTGTTGTCTGTTCAGACAATTACCTAAAATCTCAGGAATCAGACAGATTTGAAGAAAGTTGGCTTCTTCTAAGACACTAATTTCAGTCAACCAGCAGGCTCAGGTTAATGGGAAATAAGGGGACACCTCCCAGTTTTTACAGATTTTTTTGTTTTCACTTTGTGAATCTTACCATTTTTTTTTGAGACTATGCAATACCCCAAAATAGCAATTATCAGGACCAATAACAATGGCCCTGCTACTGCTCCTGAAAGTAAATAAAAAGAAGAAATTATTTAGCAGGTTGATCTAACAAAGGATCAAATTTAAAAAAGATTTTGTAGTTTAGTTTTAGTTTTGTAGTTTCTGTCCATGGCAACAAAAGCTAAATTTACAAGTATTGTGTATGTTTGACATTCACATTTGATGCCTCAGTTGTCAGATGCCAAGGTCTCATTTCAGTCACCACCACTTCATAAAGCTGAATTCTCCTCTCCTGAAAAGTGAGGACAGACTTTTGGCCTTGGTCACAATAGGTTTTTTTCCAGGCAAGCAAGAGTTTGTCACATACAAGGCCAAATAGCTCAAAATGCTCCTAAACATCTCTGTCATCTGGATGGGCTGTGAGCAGGAGAGAACACATCCACTCCTGGGAATGCTATCAGGACCTTCTGTCCCAGGAAAGACTGACAGAAGATTCCAAAGACCTCTCACCAGGTCAGGTTTGCCTCAGTCCAGAATCTAAGATATGACCTTTTCTACCAGCTACAGCAACAATTCTCAGGAAATACCTGGTATTATCTAGTCTGGGGTTTTTTTAGAAATATTTCCAGATTTACAAGGACTGTAGAATGCACTGGGGTAGTGCAGATGTGCAGGTAAAAATGCAGGTCACTACAAGCAGAGTCACAATTAATTAATTGAGCTCTTCTGAGATTGTTTGGCTACAGGTGACTGGTCTGGGAAAGACACCAAGAACTAAATATAAGCTTGGTTCCTGTACAGACAAAAGTGACTTTTAATTGAGTTAAAGCTCACCAGTGATGTGGGACAGGTCAGATGCAGAGTTTAACGTGACAGGTTGAGTTATTATTTCAGGTTTGTGGGAAGCTGAGCTTTGGGTCAGAAGTTTGTCCAAAAAGGTGTGAGGCAGAACTGTGGCTGTTCCTGAGTCACTGCAAACAGTGTCATTCCTGCTGTTCCCAGGAACAGCCACTGATTCACACCTGCAAGAGGCAACAAGAGAAGTGAGGAAAGACAGAAAGCCCTGCATAGTTAAGGCTGCTGTTGGACTGGCTCACCTTGTATGGGGTGTACAGCTGGTGTTGTAGGATTCCTCAGGGGAAAACGTGCCAGGAGGACAAGGTTTACATTCTGTGTCTGTGCTGTCCGTCCCTTTAAACAGAGAAAAACTCCAGTTACTTATCTGGTGAGAAACAAGAATGAATAATCAGAGTCTGCAAGAGATCCTGGCAGTGATACAGACACAGTGCAAAAACACAGCCTAGAAGTGTCACACAAGACATTCTCTTGTAGCACCCAACCCAAAGAGAAGATTAACCAGCTCTAAATTTGGAATCATTAAAGGTTCAGATGTGGTGCTGCAGACAAAGCTGAGCTTTTCACCTGACTGGCTACTGTTTCATTCTCAAATGATTCCTAATTTTTTTAAATGTTTAGTGTTTTGAATATTTGAAAATTATTTCTCATTTTCAGACAGATGTATTATCAGCTGATTCCATCAGCTAATAAAACCAGATCAATTCTGCAGGACAGCACAGAGTTTACCGTCATCATTATTTACAGTACCCAAAATTCTACCTGAAGCCCTGTTTCAAGGATTTAAGGAGTGATTAAGTGGTCTTGGATTTCAGTCACTTGTACAGAATAAATCACACAGTACAGCAAAACGAAGATTAAGTTGGACTGGGAACTTTATGATATATGACAGTAAGAAATTGCAGTATGTTGTCCCCTTGGATATACCTCTGGAGAATACTCTTAGTGCCTACTTGCCAAGAATGTAAAAATAAGCCCTAAAAAGAATGCACAACTGTAGGGAATTAGGCAGAGTAAGTGTTCAGTAAACAGAGTGTTCAAAATCAAATTACCTCTTCTGGAAACCCGGTAACCTTTGCCACATTTTTTATGTGCTCTACACACTTCACAGTACTCGTCTAGCTTGGAAACGCAGTACTTGTGGGGTGGGCAGCTACAGATTCTGTCCTGGGACCTCGTGCATGTTTGATTCTGTACAAGCCCTGGTTTTAAAACAAGAATAAAACAAGATGTCATTGGCAACATTTAAAATCACAGCCTGAGATGTTCACGTACAAGTTTTGGGCTCACATAGCACCATAAACCAAATGTGTTACATTCCTCAATGTCTACACTTTCAGAAGAGTTTTCTCTCTCTAGGCAAGGAGAAATTTGCACCTGTAGAGTACACACTTAAAACTTTAGGGCTTAAAACTCTGTAGCTGCAGTTGTGTAATATTTTGTACAACCCCAAACATGGGATTGTGTTCATCACTGTTTGACCTGGGGGCCACCAAGATTTTCAGTCTGTGCAGCTCATGTCACTGTATTTAAAGTGCTTGGAGATTTTACTACAGACATTTTCATATTGTAATTAACTAGCGTTATAAGATTATCCATTTAGATGGGACCAAAGGTTGACTGTATCATTAAAACTTCTCAGTGAATCAAGTATATAATGTCCTACACCAATTTCCATTAGAAATGACGGAGAGCAGCGTGACCAAGTTCATTCATGCAGGTGATCTATTAGCCCAAAGTACAGGTACAATGTTCCACCTTTTGTGCTGTTAAGCTGCTTCAGTGAGCCAGTGTGCTCTCACTGACTGCTGCTTTGCAAAATAAATAAAATTAGGAGAGGAATATCACAACCCATGTTTGCTGTTGTCAGCAGACAAAATGAGAATTCCAGGATGCTGGAAATGTTTTTATTACATTTACCCTTGTCCAAGTCAGTTCTTAAGGTCTCCTTATGGGACTTTATAAGCAGGAACTTATTCTACTGATGGCATTTGGAATATTTTAGTGATATAGTGCCTTAGTTTTTAATAATATAAGACTGGTGTCTCATTTTTAGGACTTAAAAAGAGGCAGGACTCCCTGCAAGACTTTTCCTTGTCTCTGTCCCTAAACCTTAAAGTGGTTGACAAAATCTCCTGGTTTTCTTAGGAGAAAAGACAAGGTTAAACCAAGCCCAGGCTTTGAGGAAGCCTCTTTGCTAATTCAAGCCTACCTTTCCTGCAGGGTGGTGAGCAGGCAAAGCACAGTGGAGAACGATTCCAGATCGCTGTGTACGTTTTAGGCCTGCAGGGGCTGCACTTGGTGTCCACGGTGTGGCTGCAGCTCCCTGTTCTATATTGACCTATTAAAAGAAAAATAACCCAAACCAAAACTGAGAATGCATCTCACTGGAAAAGATCACTAGGAATTAAGTCTCTCTAATTAAGGAATTAAGTAGAACCCCTTCCCTTCACTGACATTATCAGATTGGTATCATGTACCAAACAAGTGTTGGTGTAGAGGCCTGCATGTCTCTACAGGGAAAGTCTGATTTATGTCCACTCATGTTTGACCCCATTTCCTAATTCAGTTCAGTGAATTCCAGTCACATTCAATTCAAGGGAGCCACAATCCTGAACAAAACCCCTCAGCACATATTTAGGTGCAGCTACCACGATACATAAACCAAATATTTTACCTTCACAGAAGCTGTTTCATGGTGAACACGTTTCACACCCAAAGTCGGGCACATGCTAGAATGATGTGCCAGGGTGAGACCCTTACTGTTATTACAGGCAGTGAGTGGACAAGGCAAGATCAAGTAACATCACAAACAGGCCTGAATTAGAACTTCACCACTTGTCACTATGAAAGGGACACGAGCCCACTCTTTCTCCCTCACCTTTCCAGCCAGCCCTAACAGAACCAAACACGGAGTTTCTGAAACTACTGGCATTCCAGACAAAGTTAAAAGCTATCAAAGGTAGTTTCTCCAAAGCTTCTCACCACCAAAGAATTTAGTACAGTGGTGGAAGCATGTAAATATGAGTTCTAACATATTCATTTTGGAGAAACGAAAACACCTCAGTTGCCATTTCCCTTTCATGTGAAAGGAGAAAGAAGATAAAAGTCAGTGTCTCATATACTTTACAAAAATACCCTGGAAAACATACTCAGAAAGCAGGAATAACACTGATTATTTTTTTTTTAGAGCTGCTTGGAGAATCTATTTTTCAAAAGAAGAGGCCATGGAGGTGAGCCAAATTAATTATTTCCAAAGACTTTTTTTTTCCTGTACTTAATTGAAGCTTTACATTCTGCATCCTACATCCTCCTAATAATTTAGGCTTATTTAGTACTGAACACTACATAACACAAAAGAAAAGTTTTACCTATGAATTATCATCTTTCATCCGTCATGAACAAAGGAAATTTAACAGATCTATCTAAATAATTTCATTTAATTCAAGAAACTGCAGCTGTTTCAGTAAATACTGATTTCCTGTTTAAACTTCCAGATCTGACAGACACTCAGCATTTACAGAGACATTTTCTTTGCTCAGCATGCAATGAGGAAAAAAAGGCAGGTTTTTTTCCCTATTTAATATAATAATATAGTTGCATCTTGTTGCAAAAACTCTACTACCAAAATCTCCAAAGAATATTACTATCTCCTTCCCAAAAAAAATCCCAAAACCCACAGACACTGACTTTGGCTAACTACAGGTCACTTCTAATCACCCCTGGAGTGTGAGACACGCCAGCTCAGATCAGACAGTCCTGTCCCCAGCCTGACTGTGCTCTGCAGTATCTGATTTACAGTAAAAGACAACAAAACTCCCTTAATGAGCAATGATAGATTGACATGTTCAATGGAAAGCCCCTTAGATAAGTGATATTATCATAGTACAGAAACTAAGCTTTACTTCATGCCCTGTTATACAATGTATATTTTTATTAGTGGGCTTGGGCCTGTGTTACCTAATTTTTGTAATTTCTTTAGTGAGCTCTTGCTTCCTCTCCAATGTTGACTAAAATTACTTTAATTACTTTAATGAAGACCTCATGCAGAGCTGTGCTTACACAAACTCAGAGCCTATCTCCTGGTAAGCCCCAGCCAGGTTAACCTTGTAGAATTCCAGTTCTGATGGACAATGTGTCTCTTTTGCAGGTGTTTGGCAGTCATAGTGTTTCATTTTCTTTGAGGAAGAATGCATTACAACAGCAAAAATCTGATGCACTTTAGATGTGTAAGTAATCCAAATACACTGTGATTATCTGAAAATTGAGTGGTTTTGGCTGTGTAAAGTAATAGTTTGAATTATAACCTACCTGGAGGGCACTGGCTGCAGCATTTATTAAGTTCCTCATCATAGAATTCAGTGCTGGGATTGTTGCATCGTGCAAACTTCGGTGTATAAGGTAATGAATATTCCTAGGAGAAATCAAAGGGAAGTCATGAGTCACAAGTCCATTCTGACCCTGAATTAGAGACTCAAAAGAGACAAATACCTAAAGACCAGTGCAATTACAAGAACATTCCTTTCCAAGGCACTGATGTAGCTCCAAAGAAACAGAACACAGCAGATGCCAGGAGGCTGCAGGGCAGTAAACAGCTAATGAGCTGCATGTGACTGTTTGGAGGTTCCTTTGTTTTCCAAAGATCCACCACCATGAACAAAGTGATTTCTCCAGGTTTTAGGTTTGAACAAAGTGATTTCTCCAGGTTTTAGGTTCAAAAGAGTGCAGTGGAACTATGGCATTAGCAGCACACCAGGTCACTACTGCATCCCCCAAACCAAAGGGCTCAGTGCCTTAGCCTCAGCTGCCATGGCTCCAATAACATCTGACAAAACACCAGAGAAACCTCAATTCCTACCTGTGGGCTTGTGGGAGAAACATTTACTGCAAAGTGGCTCAAAAACTTCAGTCAATCTTTCCAAAGAAAAGGGAAAAAGGCTTTTTATCTTTCCAGATACTCAGTGATTCCTCCCTGAGCAAGAAAAGCCTTGATGTTTTGAAAATGATGTCTCCAAAAATTGTACTGCTTCTTCTGAGAAGCAGCACTTTTGCAGAAGGTGCAGACAAATATGCAGGTTAAATGCATTCGAGACAATCATTATACAATTATACATTATAATATACATTATAATTATACATTATACAATACAGGGTGCCTAATTTCATCTCACACTGATCAACACAGCTCAATGACTTCAATGAACAAGTGTCAAATTATTTGATGACTTACTGACGATTTTCAAAGGGAAAAATACACTCACTTAAAGAAGGCTCCTGTTAGGTAGGACAAGCGTAGGAGTTTCCTGCTAGACCAAAAGGGTACTGTTTGAAAAGGATGTGACACTGCTCAGCTTTTTGCAGTCTGAAGAGATTGCTTCATGCATAATCTACACACATTTAGAGGAATCATTACTAAAATGAGAAATCAAAACAGGAACAAGCTCTTGGGAGGCCGGTAATGAAAATATCCTTCCGCCTTACTGAAAAACATGTTGAGTATCTATTGTGTTTTCACATTACTGACAAAGGAGATTAACATTTCCCACCCTCAGCAATTGCTTAAAGGGAATTCAGCATTTTCTTATGCAGCTCATTGAAATATTCTACCTCTTAATTAGCTGTGATCAGAAGCAAGATTTTGTCAACCTACTCAATGGTCAGTGTCAAAAAAAACCTTTTTCTGAGAATGTGAAGGCAGAAAAAAAGTCTTCTTGAGTTTAGATATTGTAGGATGGACAATGATAAATCATCCTGTTTGCCAACTTGAGCTGACACTAAAATTTGATGAAGGAGAAAAGGACTTTGCTCTCATCAAAAGTATTTTTCATTTAAGTTACTTTTTTATTCAAAGAGGAAAGATAAAGTGTTGTCATCCAGTTTTTGTAGTCACTATGATCAACTTAATTAAAACAAGCAGTTGAGAGCCTTTTCAAAACATAAAACTTCACTGCAAGAGCAGACACAGGGGAAAAAAAAAGGAGAAATACAATAAACCACATCACAAATTACCCTGCTGGTGAGGTTTCCTGGCAAAAAAAATAAAGGTTCTTATCTCATGCTCTTCCCTGTCTGTTGTAAATCCAGCCCTGTGAGCTGCAGACACAGGAAAACCTGTCGGTTGCCGGGTTCACACCTGTTTCTCTGAAGTTGTGCTTGGAAGGATTGCTCTACTGTCTGATACAATCTCCCTGAAATTTTATCTGATGAGCTGTGGCTCTCAGTGACTTACAATAGACGTTTTCTTCCCAAATGTCCTCAAAGAACATTATGGAAAACTAAAAGGGAGTTGTGACTGGTTTAGCTACAATTTACACACAGCTCAGCTTGGTTTGCCCTGGAAGGATTCAATTCATTTAGTAGCTACCCTCAGCATAAACTAGTTTAATCAGAGCTGTCAAATCTGTCAGAGGAAGTGTAGGCATTTTACTAGTTTTAAAGCTCCTCTGGATTTCTTTGCTGCAAGACCCAATTTTCTAGCAAAGTCAGCAATCCTAAAGTCTCAGTTGGGCCATATGAGTTTTCTGTCTGGCATCCAGATCCACTGGCTGCTGTGGGATGAAAGACTGATGAGCAGAGTCCAGATTCTATTTCATAATCTTTGCATTTTGCTAGTGTTTGTGTCTCTCACAAGTCCTTATTTTATCCTGTTTTCACTGTGATTCAGTGTTCTTTCTACAAGCAGATTGTGTGAAGGGAAACTAACCTGATGCTGCACATTTTGCATTACAGCCTTAGAGCTTCTCAGTTTAGGTAGCAGTGTCTAATGGCAACTGATTTAAAAGAAATTTACATGGACAACATCAAGACTTTGGAAGACTTCATTTAATTTGACAGGCACAAAAAGAAATAAAATGCCTCATCTGTCTATAAGTAGAGGCACAAATTCACATAAACATGAAATTTAGTCTAGATCTATGCAGGTCAAATTAAGCAATACATTTTGGCATAGAAATGGGTAAAATGCATGCCTTCAGAGCTCACTGGGGAGATTTTTGCAATGCTTCTGCATTGGGCAATAACTAAGAAGTTACATACACAAAATCACTGACTCCAGACTCTGGAGTTCCTGCATTGTTTGGATCATTTTCCTGTTTGCACTACAGAGATCACTATACATGTGACCTAATTTATCCCTGGAGAGGAATGGGCTAACAGCAATCTTCACACCAACTGAAAGGTCTTTATGTGTAATTAAAGTATCTTAAATGTTAATATAAATCCATTCATATAGCGTTCATTTTCAGTCAAGGCCATTTAAACTAAGATATTTAAGCACTTATTTGAATCCTAACTCATATGTCTACATTTCTGTTGATCTCCTTTTTATACATTTGCCTTCAAACTTAAGCTGTCAATCAGAGGAGTCTGAAGAGGAACAACATCTGTGTATGATGTTCTTCACACGTGAAACCACAATGAAGTCACTGAGGTCTCTGTTGTAAAATCGGTTTCTATGGAAAGGTTTTGAGGTACAGAGACACTATTTGCTGAGCTACCAGACCTACTGAAGGCAGGAAAAAACAGAATTCTGTCTAAAATATTTAAAGTTCTCATTTAAAAAAAATTTTGTTGACATTTAGTTACCAGATAACAGCATGTCTTAAATCAGATGGAGTTGTATCAGGCTGTAAAGTTCCTTTCAAAGCTGCTGTGCTGCACATCTCTCTCAGAGATTATGGTTCCATTATGTGAATTATTCTGCACTTCTGCAAAGCAGGAGTCCTTGCAGAGCCACACACCAACAGACTCACAGTTTGACATCCCCCTCCCTGAGAAAACAGTGTCTCTTTGTCAGGAATTCTACTGCTTTGCCACTCACCACCAGAATATAGAAACATCTTCCCAGAATGGGAAAGCAGGGGATGCACAGAATATGGAAGCTGTTCACAAAAATTATAGAAGTTCAGGTTTGTAGCAAGACAAGGTATATTTTATTATATATGTATTTGGAAAAACATACACATTTCAGCAATTCTTCTGTTTGAATACTTCAGGCTATAATCTTGGTGACTCAATTGTTCAAAATGGCAAAAATCATGTTTGACACTTCCTGTGTCTAACACAGGGACTAAGGCGGGGAACTTTCAGAAACTTCCAGATGAATGAGAAAAACCCAAGCAGTGTCACTCAAGAACAATTGCTCTGACAGTTTGTCTCTCTCAAAAATAAAGTAAGTTTTCTTTAACAAATAACTGTTGAAAATTGATAGAACATGTATGGTTTTCTCCAGCTCTGTGGCAGATGTGGTATTTCTGAAACTACTGTATTTGTTTCTCTAACTTTTCATATAGGCTTTTCCTTTTTTTATGTTTTGTCACAGTGCAAAAAGTGACACTGAGATTCTCTGTCATTATTTCCATCATTATGTTTCAGTCATATTTAGAGTGAGAGCTAATTCCTTTTGAACAAAAGCCTTTTGCTCAGCATGAAGCATGACAAACTTAAATTCTGGTGATAAGTTCTGCTACAATTCTGAGGCTCTCTCTTCTCTATCGCCTTTCTCCTATCCACTGCAAGGTGTCCAGTAAATCAGATTCAAAACACTCTCACCTTAAAACCAGAGCTGAATTAAAAATTAGTGTGAAACAGTTAGAATAATTATTTTAACATATTATCAGCTCACTATAGCACCCAGTACTCCTTAAAAGACCACTGTGTAATTCCAGGTTCTACACACATCCTCACCTGATTTCACTGAACCTTTGTCTTATTCCTAAATTCCTGTGATTAAATAAACATGTAAAGAACATAAATATCCCATAAGAACACAGTGACCTGGGCATCTCAGCAACATTTCCATATTTATCTTCATAATCCTGAACATTTTAAAATCAGACAGAAAAGTGTCATCAATACACCAGTACAGAAAACACTGAGATGAAGGCAAACAGATCCCATTGAGGTTTTTTGGCTGGCACAGCTACAAACCCTCATTGCCAAATCGTGCTGGACATGGAAAGGGACAGTCACCTCTGCAGGGAAGGGGAACAGTCACAGCTGCAGCACGGCAGATCTTCACTGTAAATTAAAAGGCTTTTCTATTTAAATAGGGAAGCGTTCTAGGGAACCAACTCAGCACAAGCTCTTCCTGTGTAAACAATGGATAGGGGTTTCCACTCTGCTCTTGCCAGGACACTCACCACGGCTTTTACAAACATTCAAATAAGCCTGCAAAATCACCCTATTGCCGATAAAAATCCAGGAAAAAAGATTTGTCGTTCCTTTGGAGAGCCAAGGAGGAACAACATAGACAAAGCTGAGCTTTCAAGTTTTAAGAGAGGCACTTGAGGTTGTTGTAGAGATGGCAGTGAATCCAGCCCAAGCACAGGGGCACGGAGGTGACAAGGGACAGGTGACAGGGGGCAGGTGACAGAGGACAGGTGACAAGGGGCAGGGGACGGGTGACAGGAGACAGGTGACAAGGGACAGGCGACAGAGGACAGGTGACAAGGGACAGGTGACAGGGGGCAAGTGACAAGAGGCAGGTGACAAGAGGCAGGTGACAGGGGACAGGGGCACGGAGGTGACAAGGGACAGGGGACAGGTGACAAGGGGCAGATAACAAAGGACAGGGGACAGGGGACAAGGGGCAGATAACAAAGGACAGGTGACAGGGGACAGGTGACAAGAGGCAGGTGACAGGGGACAGGTGACAGGGGACAGGGGACAGGTGACAAGGGGCAGATAACAAAGGGCAGGTGACAGGGGACAGGGGACAGGTGACAAGGGGCAGATAACAAAGGGCAGGTGACAGGGGACAGGGGACAGGTGACAAGGGGCAGATAACAAAGGACAGGGGACAGGGGACAGG